AATATTCCTTGCCCTTCCGGGCTAGCCACATCGCACCGGGGCCTGCCACCCACTCGTCCACCGAGGCCTCCACCACTGAGGCTACCCACTGTTTTCTCCCCTCAGCCCTCCAGCCCTCAGCAATAAAGGCAGCATCAGCTTCCTCCCGGGCTTTGGCAACAGCCTCCGCTTTGGCGGCCTCGGTATCCTCGACAACTTTCTTGGTAGCCTCAGCAGCGGTCTTTTTAGCTTCAGCCTTGCCCTCGGCTCTGGCCACCACCTTGCTATTCTCAAGGATTTTATCAAACGCCTCCTTCTCCAACCAGAAGGCCTCCTTAGCCTCCTGAAGCTGTCTCCAGGCAACGATCAGGGCTTCATCAGCATGCGCCTTCTGAAGTTGTGACTGCTCCACCCTCTGGATGAGCTCGCCAAGCCCAAGGCATGCCTGCAAAGGGAGCCCACAAACATCGAGGGTTAAGCTACTACGCACAATGTGCTAAGCCTAACGAACTAAAGGAGAGAAGGAAGGGAGAAAACTCACAGTAACAGAAGCTTGGAGAACCTTCGCGCCGAGGGCATCGTCTGTCTCCCGGGAGAGCACTAACTTGTCTGTCGGAAGGGTGGCACCCATCAAGAACACCCTCAGGTTCAAAGTGCCATGCATGATGGCAGTCCCCTTGGTAATAGAGAACTGCACATTTTCCTGGGGCCATGGCATACCAGCAACCTGACTCGGGGGCTCGGAGGAGGAATGTTCCTCCACGATGACAACAGGGGCCTCCTTCTTCTCAGTGGCCCCCTTCTTTTGCCTCTTCCCCTCCGGGGGCACCACGCCCTTCCCAGCCTTTTTTCTCTTAAGCTCCCCAACTGGGGAGCCCTCGGCATCAGAACTGGAATCTGCAACAACAGGGACCTTGACTGAGGGCTCTCCGTCCATTCCACCCTCAGCAGTTCCCGCCTTCGGGAAGAACTCGTCCACCGCCCTCTGCTGCACATGAGCCTCCTTCTTCTTACTTTCCTTGGCCAGCTGCCTCTTCAGCTTGGAGAGGTTCTTGGCATCCATATCTGGTCCTGAAAAACGACGGAAACATACAAGTGTTAGAATATTACTATAACAAGGCAATAAAGAAGAAAAGGGGAAAGGAAATCATAAGTATAAAACAGAGAAATCCCTCGGCAAACAACCTTCGGCACTTTGGTAGGCCCGATCGATCAGGGGATATCTCTCATCTTTCTCCCCCGCCAGACGGAATCGCCGAAAGCCAAGGAGATAGAGTTCGTCCGGATGGGTGGCATCTTTAATTAGCACATGTTTGTCGGGCCCCTCCGGCTTCTTGGACAGTTTCCTCCCATTCTTCTCAAGGATGGTGCCCTCCACCTTCAGATGTCGCTGAAAGCTGTCACGAAGTGGGGCAGGGAAGGGGTTCTCCACCAAACGGATATAGCAGAATTTATCCTTCCATTCCTTGTGGGACGAAGGCACTTCGTCAAAGAGCCTAAACCTCGGAACCTGTTGCAAGTTGCCGAAACCTCCAACATTTGAGTGACCCCCCCTCCCCCCCCCCCCTGGCATAGGTTAAATGATAGAAAGAATGGGTCCGAAGTGGGAGGGACCCCCCGGCTCCAGCACAGGGAAAGGAAGCCCGCGATATAGGAATGGCTGTTGGGCGTCAGTTGGCAGGGAGCCAACTTCACAAACCTTAAATACTCCAACACGAAAGGGTGCAACGGAAACCGAAGCCCCAACTCCACCGAAAGGATGTCGACAGCAAAGCAGCCCTCAGGTGCATGCAACAACACGTCATCCACCCCTGGTTCCACTACCTGTGCCGAAGGACCCGCAAGGAATTGCGTGGCTTGATACTCGGCAGTCGTCGCCCACGTCTTCACATTCCGGGCCGCAGTGTTGAGAAAGGAATAGCCCTCGGGAATACCCACCGGCTGCCCAGCATCGACGGCGGCCTGCTTCTTCGAAGCTACCCTCATTTTCTTCTTTTTCTTGCCTGGAACCGCACTGAGGGGTGTTGGGTTAAGGGGCCGAGAGATCCCGGCCTCAGCATCGTTTCGAGGGGGTGGGAGTACAATGGTGACCTTCATCCTCTCCTTTTGTGCCTCCTCCTCAGCTACCTGGAAGGCAATGGCCAACTCTTCGTCTTCGCACACTTTCTCGAAGTCTTCGGCCTCCAATTCGATCTGAAGGTTTTTTTGTGCCTTCTCAGCTACTGCGAGATCGTTGTTGGCCGAGAGATGCTCGCTTGAGGACTCCACCTCAGATAGGCTCTCGACGGCTACCGAGGCCTCCCTCAAGATGTCTTGGGAATCGCTTTGCGAAGACATTTCTGAATACTAAAGCCGAAGGGTTCGAGGGGGGAGAGTTTCCTAAGGATATAAGGCCATGAAGCAAAACTTACTAATGAAGCAAAGAAAAGGTGGAGAACTGACCTCAGAAAGCTTGATTTGACCGAAGGCAGATGTTTATCTCTCTAGAAAATTCGGCAGAGCTTAGCTACCAATGAAATCGCACATGAAGAATGGCCTGACCATGGGGTATTTATAGCCTCCCCAATCCGGGCTTGGGACGAAAACCGGACCCCCAGCTGCCTGTAACCATCATTACAAACCGCCACTTTGGCCAACCGGTGACCCCCGCCCGCAGACAACCAACGAGCACCACGTGTAAGCCCTCTCCAACGGTCATATCCCAACGGCTAGTTTTCGGAATGAAGACGCGCCCTCTGCTGGCACCCTTCGGCCAGCAACGCATCGAGCTCCCGGGGCCGGAAAATTCAATCCCCCTTCATCAAGAGAACCCCCCCGGCAAACACTAGAATGATAACTTGCACCCTTCACCAACGATCTTGCCCTCAGCCCTTAACGAATGGGGGACTCCCTCGACATCTCCAAGATATCCATGAGAGGCCTTCGGCCAATCAACAAGAAAGCCATCAGACCAAGGACAGCTCTCGGCCTCAGCATTATACTAAGACCAAGGGCCCACCTTTTCGATTCATCATTGGGGGAACGCGGTGCACTCTTTTTCCCTCATTAGGATTTTTTCCAAAGGGTTTTTCCTAATCAGGTTTTAAACGAGACATCCCCCCAAAATGAAGCGAAAAGATTCAGCTCTCGGCCCCGTGCCGCAGACAGACACTGTAACACCCCGGAGCCCCACACAGACCCGAGGTAGTTACTTCTGACCTCTAGTACTATCCTCACAAACCGCCACTAGCCTTTTCTGCGCACTTTGTCCTCACTCGTGCGCGCCCTGAGAAACTTCCCAGGGGGTCACCCATCCCAAGACTACTCCCGTGCAAGCACGCTTAACTTTGGAGTTCTTGGCTAATGAGCTCCCTTAAAAGGAGATGCATCTTGTTGGTATGAGTAGTACTATTAATCCGTTTAAATTAAATCTCAAGTATTACAGACACTGCTATACTCCTTCTCACCACATTACATGTGCCTCAAGGAGTGGGGTACTGGAGGACCCCTTCGGGAAAATCACAAAATGTTAAAAGTTCTCCCAGAGCATCAACATCCTTCAATCCCGAAATGTGGGGGACTGAGGGACTGCCCTCGGTAAAACAGGCAACGCAAACCTCTCACAACTATACAAACAAGCAACGAAACAAACATCAGCATCAGAGGACAAACACAATTACTCTTTTTCCCTCAAGTACCTTTCGGCAAAAGGAGTGAGGGACTCCTGATCGAGTATATGGCCCAGGGACCCCCGGCCCACATACTTTCACAACTGTAATCAGGCCCAAACAGGCCAAGTCCAACAAAATGAAGCTCTAAGCAGCTCACAATACGCAAAGGGGTGCCTTCGACCCCATGACCGAAGGCTACCGTTGCCGGAATCGAGCTCAGAAACTTCACAGGAGAACAAGGCGTGAAAACCAAGCCTTCGGCATATACAACCCTCGGCACAAGGAGGCCCCCGGTTAGGAGAGCCTTCGGTACAGCACCCTTCAGCCGAAGGCACCCTCTTCGACAGAATATCCTCTCCACACGCGCCTGGATCACCGTACCAAGTATAACGTCGCATCCAACCACCACATTTAATGCGGCCACATGCAAATGCCGGTGCCACCCGATTGAGGTGACCCTCGGCCGTCGGATGCTTGACACGTGTCCCCATCTAGCATTTATTGCTGCTATAAATAGCAGCCTTTTTCCCATTGTAAGGCACAACAACTTTCATATTCGAATATACACTCTCTCTCTCTCTTACTTATTTGCTCTGACTTCTCTCTAGTTATTCTTTGCAATAACTCTCGGATAAGCTATCCCCGGGTAGACTATCCATCACCTTACTTTCAGGATACTCTTAATAAAAATCCTATTACTACACAGCTATGATTCCGGCGGTTATGCGCATGCAGTTATTAGTCCCGACGGTTACAAACTACTCATAAATACGTGATATGTTATTAGTATTAATAAAATAGAGGGATAATATTGGTGTTAAAATATAAGTTCAAAGACATGTGCATGGTCATGACCATGTGCGATCATACATTAGTTAAAAATAGCAAGTAGTCATAGATTGGTCATGACACTAAGTTTTAGTTATACGAGGGATACATTTCTCTATTTCCATTCATAGTTGATTATTTGATTTCTTAATTGTTGATTGTTATCTATTGAGTGTTGGTGTTATAATTATAATTACTTGATTTTGTCGATGAATTTGTCAACAAAACAAAAGAAAAATCAAGAAGAAATGGATTACGGGACCAGAGGCATAAACAATGTAAGGGAAATCTCTCTAAATAAAAACGTGCTACGTACTAGGTATTTAATTTTATTTTAGAAGATAGATACAAAAATGTACTTTCTGCATCTCATCAAAGGTTAAGGTTTACTCTGGTGGTCGGCGGAGATCGATCCATTTTAACAAGGCAAGCGTCATGCACTTTCCATATATTTTCCTGGGCCTTGCATCAGTTGCATGCATACATATATATATCTATATATACTATCGGTATATATATATATATGTGTGTGTGTGTGTGTTCCCTCGTAGACATTTATCGATCATCTGCATCATCGGCTGTGTTTGCGGCCTTTTTTTATACATATCCAGTTTAGATCATATACAGCAAAAAAAGAGAGCTCATCGGCTCTTTGAGTATACATATAGCAACGCAATATACTGGGTATATAGTGGAGGGCATGCAATTCAACGATATGATGCAATCCCTCAACAATCATTACTTACTGCTTATATCCAACCATATCCCGCCACCGCCGGCGCAGATTGGTTGTAAGCGCAGCAGATCCGTAGCTAGAAGTACGTCGTCGTCTCTCCGTACGCCGCCGTTACATCTCCGCCGCCGCAAACCTGAAGTGAACTCCGCCAAGTATATGTGTATACTCCCACCCATCAGGTACGTACTATACGTAGATTATACGACACACCGCCGGCCATGCATACACTTTTTGGTAAAATATTTAACTCCAGGTGCGCAGATTTAATTTGATAGCACGCATCTTCATCTTCATCTGCATCTTCTCAGCTCCTAGCTAGAGGCCGGGAGTCCGGGACGATCTACTTTAGCGCTACCCTTACTTCTTGCCTCAAGCCGAAGGGAATTTAATTTATTTTTCTATTTTATACTGTAAATTTTTTCTTTTTCGTATTTATTCAACTCTCCTAACATTTGAGTCCAATATAACTTTTAAATCTAATCCAATTCAAATTTTTGAATCATCTCAGATTTCTCGATTGCTAAATATGTGTGGTTATACTACGTAGTATCATATCATTTGTCACAAAAAAATAGTAACTGAATTTAATTTGTATTTTGGGATAGATAAAAGAGAAATTACCCAAAATAGGACTAAAAACGTTTGTATATTCCAAAATAGGATTCTCATGTTTTTATTCCAAAAATAGGACTAATTACTGCCATGTTTTGACAGTACCAGACTTTACACATGGCAGTATTTTCCAAACATGGCAGTAATTACTCCTATTTTGGGAATAAAAACATGGTAGTCCTATTTTGGAATATTCAAACTTTTTTACTCCTATTTCGGGAATTTTCTCTAGATAAAACTCCCTCCAATCCGAAAAGGTTCGGTAATTTGACTTTTCTTGGTCAATTACAATCAACTTTAACCAATGAAATTTTTTAATAAAAAATTATTTTGAATATGAAAAGTATATCAAAATGTTCCTTATTCAAAATATTTTCATTGAAGTATAATTTTTTAAAAAGTATATATACAAATATATAATTGAAACTATTATCCAAAGTTTGTCACATTGATCGAGAAAAGTTAATATGTCAAACGTTTTCGCGACGGAGGTACGTAGTATATGGAGTAATAGCAAATTAATTCTCATTGTAAAATACACTTGGTACATAAAAAGATATCCATCAAACCAAATTAGACGACCATTCATTCATCTTCTTCACCAATCTTTTCTTAAGAATTATACACTTGGTACATAAAATACACTTGGCATGTCCATATCCTTTGGCTTGATTCCTCTTATTTCTTCTTCTTTTTTTTTCTTCAATTATTCTCTTCTTTTTCATCAAAATATTAAGAATTTAACTAAAATTTCTTTCTTTTTCATCTTCAAAATAAATCTAGCTAGGTTTTTTCTTCTTTTTCATCAATTCAAAACTGAAGTTTTATTAATCTAAAATAAAAATTCCTGTACCTCATACTAAGAGGAGAAAAGTACTTTGGGCCCCAGTAAAATAAAAAAGAGACTATGTTTGTTTTAATCTACTGCGCAGTATAATTTTTTTATTTGTACTACGATTATTACAAAAAATATATCAAAATTCATAACAGTTTATCATCTTTCTTATGACATTATTAATATTGCATATATAAATAATAAGTTAGCACTTTGCTATAACTATTTTGTTGATACTTTGATTTCTGCAAAAAATATACCAATTCATAACTAATACAATCATGAAATTGAGATCTCATGATTGTATAGTGCAATTTCATAGAACCCGTTTGGTAACACTGAAATCGGCTGAATCGGAAGATTCTGCTGAAATTTATGAAGTTCTGGCTGCATTGGCTGTATCGGCTGATTTATAAAAAAATTATATTGAAAAAATATTTTATTTAATAAAATAAAGAAAAAATTACATGAAAAATAGCTAAAATGATCATCTACAGTACCTTCAGGCAAAATAGCCAGAAAAGTAACTCCAACCTTACTTTTTCTTATTATTACACAATTTAGCACGCAGATTCAAAAATTACGTGTTTGGTGAAAAAGTTGACTGATAAACCTGATAAGTTAAAAATGTTGCCACATTTTCTAACCTATCATCACTTTTATACTTCGTATGTTGTTTTATTCTTTGTGCAATCGAGAATTATTTTTTACAATTTGCATGTTTTTTTGTTTTATACTATGGGTATTTACATAGCTACAATTTTAATAAATATTCTTTGGCCTACTGTTATCTTAAAAATAATGATCAGTGTGAAAAATACGGAGGTACTTTAAGTGTACTGTGTATATTATTTAGAGGACGTGATTAGGCATGGACCGGGCCCGGGTCGGTTCAAGCCGGACTTTTTTCCAGGATGTTGGGCCCGGAACCGGCCTGGGTTGATATCGGATCTGGGCCAAACCGGGCCGGGCCGGGCCCGGTTCAAGTTAATTTTTTTTGACTTTGTAATTAACCCCCGACCTCCCTCCCTCACCCCGACCCCCTAAACCCCTTAAAACATCCAGCCCTACCCAAGGAAAAGAAAAAAAAAATTGAAGAAACAAAAATAAATGAACCGGGCCCGACCCGGACCGTCTGGGCCGGTTCATGAAAATCAAGGCATGAGTTCGGCCCGCCAGACCTGCTCAAACCGGGCTAAAGCCCGGAACCGGTCATCCTGGCCCGGCCTGGGCCGGGCCCAACAGTAGCGGGCCGGTCCGATTCCCAGGCCGGTTCGAACCGGTTGGGTCCATCCCTAAACATGATCATAAAAATACGGAGTAATTACTTGTACACGTGCATCTTGGTTGTTTAGTACCTTCACTTTTCTTTCTCCTGACCCACCGCAATCCTCAGAATTGAATGGTTGTTCTACAGACTACAGCCGTATTTTCGCGATAGTATCTTTTTTATGACACGTGCCATATAAAATCCGAAAAATATCACACATCCACATCGGTTAAAGCTTTAAACATAGCATATCAGACTAAATTAGATCAATCTTAGATAGTTATAAAATAGGAAAAATCGTCAAGAATAATTTCACCTTTCATTAGTCTTGTTAAAATAATCTCACTTTTATGTAATCCTAGAATAATCTCACCTTTGCACCTCATCTTCTTTCGTTGGACCCTGACCTGTTGATGACCTACTATACCCGGTTTTTTACCCTTTTTTGAAAACCGTATATAAATAATCTCACCTTTCACAAATTTGCTCAAAACGGTCCCATGTTTCATTTTTTCATTTTTCTCCCTAAAATTTTGCTTTCATTATTTTCATCACTAGACAATTTTTTTTCTTTTCTATCATTTTGTTCTTATTTCTTTTCAATTATTATTATTTTATTTCTCACACTATAAGGAGAGATTTTTTTTTTTGTAAAATTTCTCTTCAAAATAGCTCTTTTTTGTCGGTTTCTTTTTCTTTCTGTATTTTTATTTCATTTCCCTTTTTTATATTTTTTTCTTAATCATTCTCTTCTTATTAAAGATCTCATTTTAAAAGTGAAAATATTAAAGATTTTTTTCTCACTTTACTTTTTGTTATGTTATTTTTATTTTCACTTTTCCACTTTTATATTTTCACTTTTAAAATAAGATTATTAATTAGAAGAGAATGATTAAGAAGAAAAACATAAAAAGGGAAATGAAATAAAATACAGAAACATAAAGACAACGACAAAAAAGTTACTTTGATGAGAAATTTTACAAAAAAAACTCCTAATAGAGTAAGAAATAGAATAATAAAAATGAAAAAGAAATAAAAACAAAAGGATAGAAAAAGGAATAAAAAGTGTCTAGGGATGAACATAAACAAAGAAAAATTTTAGGGAGAAAAAAGAAAAAATGAAACATGAGACCGTTTTGAGCAGATTTGTGAAAGGTGGGATTATTTATAAAAAGTTTTCAAAGAAAGGGTAAAAAACCTGGTATAGTAGGTCATCAACAGGTCAGGGTCCGATGAAAGAAGATGGAGTGCAAATGTGGGATTATTCTGGGATTACGTAAAGGTGGGATTATTATGAGAAGATCAGTTAAAGGTAGGATTATTCTTGTTAATTTTTCCTATAAAATATGAGATATTATCCGAAGTAGGACTAAAACAGTTTGAAAATTCCAAAACAGGACTGCTATGTTTTTATTCCCAAAATAGGACTAATTACTGTCATGTTTTGGCAGTATCAGATTTCAAACATGGCTGTATTTTCTAAACATGGCAGTGATTAGTCCTATTTTGGGAATAAAACACATGACAGTCCTATTTTGAAATTTTGAAACTGTTTTAGTCCTATTTCAGGAACTTTCCCAATAAAATATACATGGAGCAGACATCTATCACACAAGACCAAATATAAATAAATCCGATCAAATCAAACCAGACTAGAACAGAAAATTTCAATGCAATTAAAAATATTCTAACTACTCTTATACTACGTAAACAATCAAAATAAGAACATAAACAATTACTAATTTATTCAATATTGGGGAAATTCCCAAAATAGGACTAAATGAAACTTTAATTGAAAAAATAGGAATATAACTTTAAAATTACGTAAACTAGCTAGTGTAAAGCCCGGTGCATGCCCCGGTAGCACATCAATTTGATATGAGTTTAAATGAAAAATACAAATAGATATTGTGAATTATTTATATGATCCAAAGTTGAGTATAATAAAATTTTATTATGAACTAATCATAACCAATTATAAATTTGTATTTGTTAAATGATTATTAAATTATCCATCATGATATATTACATATTTACACTTTAGTCTATATCAAGGTTGTATATTGCGGTCGTTGTTGCGTTCACTGCGGTTGCGGCTATTATGGTCGTTGCGATATGATACGTATTACAGCCGATGCGGTGTGAATTATTTTTACGTTCAAACGAAATAAAAAATTATGATAAATTAGTCTTGCCTTGATGCAGTCCAATGCGGTCTGATGCAGATTTTTCCTATGACTCAAAATCTTTCTGCCATTGCAGCCAAAATCTTTTCCATTTTATCTTAGATTTTTCTATTTTTCTTCTCTTTCTTACGTTGATATCATTAATTGATTCATGTTAGTAGACTTCAATATTTTTTGTGATTAAGACATGGATTGTTGTTCTTGTAAAGTCCTATTAGTTGTATTACAGCCCATTATTTAAAGAACTTATATTCGATGAAGTGACAAATACGTTTGTGTACTTCATCTAGTGTACAATATCTCTGTTACGTATGCTTTGATTATAATCAAAGATATACATTTATGAAAATCAAAATAAATAATAAAAATGAAAAGTGATTAAGGACTATCATCTGTATGCTTACGTTTGTACGATATCTAGTTTAAACGTTTTTCTCGGATCTTTTCTCCAATGTTTTCTTCAACGTTTTTTTCGGTTTTTTCTATCCTATGTTTTTCGAAAAAAATGTTATAATTAAATCTTGTTAACCAATAAGAGCAAGGCACGTGAGCGGTTTACAATTGAGTTTTACTATATAAAACAATACATATGACTATCTTTTCAATATTGCCGTTGCTTTGTCTCAAAACATATATGTAATAAAATAACTTTATTTATAATGAAAATGTAAACAATAAAAAACACGAAAATAATATTAAATATAATTTAAAAAATAGAATAATTCAAAATTATAAAACTAAAAAACTTAAAAAGTAAAATAAAAAAAAAAAAAATAAAAGAGAAATTGAAAAATGCAGTTGTGTGATGTGGCGTGAACAACCTCCCAACACAATCAAATCAATTAAGTTGTTGGTGAGGTACGTAGGCCGGTAATTAAATGCAACTTGAAATCGAAACTGGAAAGCATGTGGTCCTTTGACCTAGTACGTGCATGCTACCAAACTGAGAACAATGTGGTCCCGAAAGTAGGCCCGGAGTATCTTTGTGCTTCCGGCCGGCCGGCCATATATATATGTACTCTCGATCGATCTCCGTCCAGGCCTGCAGGATGTTGGATCAATTAATTATATTATCGATCATCATCCGGCCACTTAATTAGCTTGCAAATTAAATAAGTTGTACGAACGAACGTGCTGCGCCGCCGCTAATTAAGCTAGCTACTTTTTTCATGATCGATCGAATTGATAGGAGGTCGCGGAGATGTGAGAAGGTGGTAATGGGTGCAGTAAGGAATGATGAGTCAATGTACGAAGAGGAAAGAGAGAAAGCGGGGAAGGTCCTGAAGCAGTTCCAAGAGGACAATGATGAGTTTGGAGTTCTTCGGGTTATAGATGTAATGCAGCGGATGTGCATCGACCACCATTTCCAACACCTCATCACATCCATCTTGCACCAACAATATACACACACCTTGTCTGGACAAAGTGATGATGATGATGATGATCTTTATCACATTTCTCTTCGTTTCAGATTACTTAGACAACGTGGCTTTTATGTTCCCTCAGGTACCTACCCCGCCCAATTTCCATCTTTTTTTTCGATGAGTGATTTTAATTTTCAACACACTTTGATTTTGCACTTCATTCAATTTAAAAATTCTTTGACTTTGCACTCCATCATTCATAAATTTTTCTTCACAAAATGTTATGTGTTGCGGTGCAAAATCAAAGTTTTTTCAAAGTCCCCTTATTTCAATTACTCTATATACTACATTTGTCTCAAAAATGTTCGTCATATTGATTTTTTTTTTCAAACTTTGGATAATGATTTTAGTTATTATATTTGTATATAATTTATAATTTTTATACTTTTATGATTTTTTTTTGAATAAGGAAGATTTTAATATAATTTTCATATTAAAAATAATTTCTTATTCAAAAATATCATTAGTCAAAGTTGACAAGGATTAATAAAGCTAGCTACCTAGCTAGCTTAGTGTTTCGAATTTTACGTGCTCTCATTAATTTAATTTCCCCGGTGAAAACCAAATTCTAAAATATATAGGACTAATGTTGTCGTCTATTATTTTCTTTTCTGGATGCGAAATATATATAATGAAGGTGATGTGTTTGGGAAGTTCACGGATGAGAAGGGAGAGTTCAAGAAGGAATTAAGAGAAGACATAAAGGGGGTTATGGCACTGCACGAAGCATCCCATTTATGCATAGGAGGAGAAGACGAGCACATTTTGGAGGAAGCTGCAAGGTTTAGTACTGAATGCCTGCTGGCAAAAAAGGAAGGCGATGATGATATTCGACGAACCTTAGAGTACCCTTTTCATAAGAGCGTGCCCAGGTTTACAGCGAAAACCTTCGTTGAGAAGATGAGGGTGGAACAGGAATGGGAGGCCACCTTGGGCAACTTTGCCAGTTTGGATTACGCCATGCTGCAATCACTGTATGAAGATGAAATTCAGCAAGTTCTCCGGTGGTGGAAAGGACTCGGGCTGATGGACGAGTTGGCCAAGAACAGACAATTCAAGTGGTACATCTGGTCATTGACCATCAACCCTTATTCCCATTTATCAACAGAGAGGGTGGACCTCACCAAGCAAGTCTCCCTTGTATACCTCATTGATGACATTTTTGACGTTTATGCCTCGCATCATCAGACCACTCAATTTGTACAAGCAATTTGCAGGTATATATATATACCGAGTACTCTCTCCGTTCTTTTTTAGTTGCAACGGTCAACATTTCACATTTGCTAACGCACGTCTTTGACCATAATTATATCTTAATTCTATTAGTAAAAAAAAATTAAAAATCAGATTTTGAATATTTGTAATTAATGAGATTAATTGAACAATATTTTTTTTAAAAAATAATTTTCCTAAAATAATAACGTAAAATGTAGTCAAAATAGAGCATGTAAATAGTGTAAAATTCAACATGTTGCGATTAAAACGGAACGGAGGATCAAGATTTCACGTTTGCCAATGCACAAGTTTGACCATTAATATCTTTCATTCCCTATTAGTAAAAAATTTACAAAATTCATATTTTCAAAATTTAGAATGAGAAGAATTTAAAAATATTTTTTAAAAATTTAATTTATAATACATCAATTAATAAAATATAGTCAAAGTAGAATATGTGAATAGTGCATAAAGTTCAATGTTGCAATTAACTAACTTAAGCTACACTTTTGTATAGTATATAGAATAAAAAATGAGGTGTCAGTTTCCTAAATAACATTCAATCTCGCTGTTTCAAATTGATTTTCAATGTCAATATTTTTTTGTCAAAAAATTTCAATTTATTCAGTTAATAATTAGGATATATCAATTTTAATGATATTCTAATTTGAATTTTGCAACTTACAGAGATTTTAATTTAATTTTTGAATATGTTAATTTTAATTATTAAAATTGTATTAATTATTAATAGGGAGAATTTAATTTAACAATATTTGATAAAAAATGTTGACTTTGCTAATCAATTTGAGAAGGATGGGGCATTTTAAATATTACTCCCTCCGTCCCGAAATTATCTTCATTCTTTCCTTTTCGGTCCGTTCCAAATTTATCTCCTCTTTCCTTTTTTGGTAAAGAATTGTGGATCACAACCATTCTTACACATTTCTCTTTTCTCTGCATAACTCTCCACCACATATTTCTCACTATCATAAAACCCGTGCCCAGTCTAATAAGGAGATAATTCCGGGACGGATGTAGTAGTATCCACCTCCTACTATTATTAATTAATTACTCCGTAATTAATAATCCAAATGAGATGAAATGCAGATGGGACCTTTCCGTGGCAGAAGGACTGCCGGATTATATGAAGACGTGTTTGGCCGTACTCTTTGATACAACTAGTGAAATCAGCAATCATGTTTTCAAAAAATATGGCTGGAACCCTAGTACTCAGTTAAAATTGCAGGTAATTAATTAAGCATGCAAGAACGTAACAACTAACGTACTATTTAATACTCCGTATATATGTACATTGTACACACACACTTAAATACATTTATTTAATTCATTATTGGATTTAAAAAAGGGGGGAATGACTATTATTTGATTTGATTTTGAACCTAATGGGTGTACATTATCTTAGGCTTATTATTGAGCTAGACGATAATTAAGCTCATGTATATACACGCGCGCTAAGGCATTGCTTTCTCTCTGGATGGATGTATGCATGTAAAACAAGTACATAATATTATTATAAGGTAGATTCTATGGTACTCATTAGGTACCATACCTTTATCCACATGGACCAATGAGAATGTAGCAGTTGAATTATTTAAATCTAAATTAAAAATGATAAAGTGGTGTAGTCCAATCAAATGAATGATAGGTACGGTACCTCATTTTTTAGAAAGGTACCGGAGTTGTCACCATATTATAATGTACACATTATATATACACGCCTTAGCTATTTTTATCATACAAGTATATATCAAGTATGGTATGAGCGCCTTAGCTTGAAAACTCATGTATATGTGTTTCTGGATGGATGTTCTATATATATACGTGTACCCGGCCGCATGCATATATTATACAGTATATTGATATACCTACATTATATATGGCCGGCATGCATGTATGCAGTGGAAAAGGTTGTGTAGAGCATTCATAAGTGAAGCAAAATGGTTGAGAAGGGGCGATTCGGTGACAATAGGGGCTGATGAGTACTTGGAAAATGGGATTGTGACAACAGGAGTTCCCTTGATTGCCACCACCGCCTTCTTTATGCTAGGCCATGGTGGCGCCGGAGATCCCACCGGAACAAAAGCTATCCAACCCATTTTGACTTCAATAGCAGCCATTCTTCGCCTCTTAGATGACCTTGATGCCACTCTGGTTCGTCTTTGAATGATAGTATTATACTTTCTATACATATATGTTCTTAAACTTTTCACATTTGCCATTAGTAAAAATGTATTGCATATTGTACTGCATGCGGGCAGGGTGAGAAACAACATGGAAAAGATGCATCGTATGTGGAGTACTACTTAAGGGAACACCCAGGCATGTCAATGGATGATGGAAGAGAAATGGTAACGAACATGGTTTCAGAACAGTGGAAGCTAGTCAACAGGGAATGCCTCTTTTCGACCACCATCCCATTTTTGTTCAGGCAGTCTTGCTTAAATGTTGCCAGAATGATTCCAATGATGTACAACTACGATGACCGCCAATGCCTACCCATCCTGCGCCGCCAGATCATGTCCATGCTTTCTACTTGTAATGAAAATATCACTTCCTCCGCTCTTCTTGGCTTGCTTCGAACTTAAATTGTACTACCCCTTCTTAAATAAATGCAACACTTTGACTTTTACACTATTCACATGTTTTATTTTGACTACGTTTTATTTGTTAATGTAATAATATTATTTTATGAAAAAAATATTGTTAAACTTGTCTGATGAAACGGTTAGCAACACAAGAGGGGGTGAATTGTGTGTGTGTGGAACCGTGGCAGTTTTTCGCACAGTTCTAGTGTGGGGTCTAGGGAATTACGAAATAATAAAGTGCACAAGGATTTAACGAGGAAAAATCCCTTGGCTCAAAGGGATTAAAAAACCTCGACCTCCCTCGGAGGAATTTGAACAACTTCACTAAAAAGCCTTTGAATGATTACAAGGGAAACTCTTCTAGTCTACCCTTGAGCCACCCCAACTCTATCCTCTCTAGGAAGAGTTATGCATCTCTACCTTGCGGGTAGAGAGCCTCTCAACTTTACAACAAAGCTCTCACAACACACTAACCGACCCGAGGATGCTACACTTAGCCAATCCTCAAAAACCCAATTACAATAAGAAGAAAGAAAAGGAAACTCAGTCTGGAACTCCGTGAGCAGGTTCAGGTGCCTTGGACTTAGTAAATATTCTAGTGTATATATCTCAATAGAAGCTTGGTCAAGCACACCAAATTTCTCTTTGGCTTCTTCGTTTATATAGGCTGTCTTGGGCAGACCGTTTAAGCATCCTTCCTTGAATAGTTGATCTTCTAATCTTGGGACTTGCCCCAATATTTTGAATTGCTTTCCTTCTTTATAATACTTCCCATATCCGAGCTCAATGTTTAAGGCAGCCGGATTAACCATCATATATATCGGCCCTGGACTAAGACTAGATACAAATAGCTCGTGCATCTTTTTGAGTCAATCAATTAATTACCGAATAAGGTAGGCTTTGGTCAATATTCAAGAAGGTAAGAATATTTTTCTCAATATAAGCAATCAACTCATTTAGATATGGAATATATTTCAACCAGCTTTTATTCTGTCACAACCGTGTAGCTATGGAATATTTTACGTACCATACTTAAGCTGTATCAATTATGGAAAGAGAATAATTACTTATATAAGGAAATTATAGCAATAAAAGAACAAGTATGTGCAATCCGTATTAACTCAAATCATATCACGGATTGTGTTTTAGTTTCTCCTGCATGGTTAGTCAATCAAATTAATAATATCCATTCGTTCCTGTTGCTCAAGGAACTGTGAGCGGTTTTATCCGCCGTTCCCCTGTATGGTTAGTCATCAACAAAACAATCGTATTCAACAAGGAACTGTGAGCGGTTCTATCAGCCGTTCCCCTGTATGGTTAGTCATCAACAAAACAAACGTATTCAACAAATTCCCCCTTTTTGTTGATGACAAACCTGTGGTGCCAAAAGAGTCCCTGCAGGTTAGTACTTGAGCAAAACTTAGCAATAAAGTAACAGTAGGTTTTTAATGTAGCAATAATAAGCAGGCACCTGATTATTTCTCCCTTTTGGCATCAACTAAAAGGAAACAGAAAATAACCAAAACAGTGCCAGGTAAAAGTGCAAAGTAGGACAGTTTGTTAAGATGTTATGTAGCAAAAATCCCCCCCCCAGTAGAAAAATGTTTAATCATCCTCAGAAGAGTAAATTATTCTCCGATGAGTCGAGACAGATTCACAAAGCCGCTCCGCCACTTCCTGTTTGAAGGATTGGAAATCATTCCGAATAGCATTGGTTGAATCAGCCAGTGTGTCCACCTTTTTTGCCAATGTAGAGATGGAGTCTGAAAGGGAAGTAAATTGGTGTTGAATATATCGTTCCAGGAGATCTATGTGGTCAGTGATTGGGGGTACCACCATCATTGGGTCGATGGAAGGAACAGGAGTTGGTTTTGGTCTGGGTTTTTGTTCTGAAGACGAGGGATCGGTCAGTTTAGGAAGTAGGTGAGAGTTTGATATAATTAGTCCGAGGTTGCTAAGACATCTCTTGTCCAGGACCTTGCAGGCTTCTTCAGAGGAGAACCTGTCTAGAGCAATGCCCTTAGATAGGAATATTTTTGTAAGCAGTGGGGCATATGGAATCCCAATCCTTCGGGATGAGGTACTAATGGTAGAACTTAGATGAGCCATCATTAACCCAGAAAGGTTGATAGGAATTTTGTTGGCTAAAAGGTACATATAGGACAGTTCAACTCTAGAGGGTGTGAATCTACCTTCTAGCCTAGGAATCAAGGTGTGATGAACAAAGTAGAACAGTAGTTTGGGAATTGGTGCAAGGCTCGCAACATGAAGAGAGGATTCGGAAATGGTTGGGTTAAAATATTCAAGTGCAACTGTTTGAGAAGTGTCAGTTAGGGGCCACTCGGTTTTGTTATATTGGCATATACCAGTACATGGAACACCTAAAATTTGTCCCAGATCATTCACATTTATCAGAATTTTGGTACCTTGTACCCTAGAGGATAAAACACTGTCTTTGATAATAAGATTAGCCAAAAATTCTGAGATGAGTTCAGGAAATACAGAGGGACAATTCTGGGAATCAAACAAGGTTTCCCATTTTTGGAAGGAAATAAGCCCAGTAAAATCAGAGGTTTTTCGAGTAAGATCACCAGAGGATATGCAGAGTACCTTAACTATTCCACGGGAGAGATACTCCTCCTTGAGTCGCGCGGCGTCTTCGTCGACTACCCTCCCCATTCTTGGATATTTTTTGGTGGAGCCCTTTTCGGAGATGATTCCCTCAGCGATTGCCCTTTTCCGAGTGTACTTTTGGGGCAACACATTTCCGTCGCTAGTTGGTGGTTTTCCTTTGGGAGGTTTAATTGGCGATGGAGAGCCTCTCTCTTGTTCCCCCTGAGAGGACGCCAGGAATGGTGGTAAGGAATCACCAGATTCGGATTGCATGGTCGAAGGAGGTGAGGCTTCGAGTTCAATCGGATTAGGTGATGAAGGTGGAGGTGGTTGTACGCTTCTTTTCCGGCTAGAACGACGAGGAGCAGTTGGAGGAGCGCAACCTTTGGTTTTGACCATGGCGGTTTAAGAAGGAGAAGAAGGAAGAGGTTATGGAAGGTTTTTATTTTGGAAGTGGGCGGCGTATTGGTATACGGGACACTTTCCCACTTCCCAAAAAAAGCTTTAATGATTTCTTTCCAAATAGGAAGTGGCCGATTATTTAGCTGTATTATCCCCAAAAATTTTGGCAATTTAAAAACTTAAAGGATCTTGCCTCCTTTTTATGAAAAATAAAGAACTTCTCCTTAGGTTGTACCGGAAATTTTTTTTTAGCATGGATTAGAATAGTTTTAAGCATTGATGAGACCAAGTTCAAGTCGAATTAATTCAAACCTTTCTCTTCCCAGGAGCTTTGTAAAAATGTCAGCAATTTGCTTGTCGGTGTTGCAATATTCTACCTTGATTAGCCCCTTTTCCACGCAATCTCTCAGAAAGTGATGCCGGATGTGGATATGTTTTGTTCGTGAGTGCATGACTGGATCTTTTGAGATGCTGATTGCACTAGTATTGTCACATAGAATTGGCGTGCCATTTAGGATGATCCCGTAGTCACTCACTTGTTGCATGATCCACAAGTATTGTGAGCAACACGATGCGGCTGCTACGTATTCGGCTTCGGCTGTTGAAAGAGCAACTGAGTTTTGTTTCTTAGAGCTCCATGAAACCAGGCAAGGACCTAGGAAGTGAGCCGTTCCAGATGTGCTTTTTCTGTTTAATAGATAACCTGCAAAATCAGAATCTGAATATGCAATAAGATTAAAATCCTCATTACGTGGATACCATAAACACAGATTCATAGTTCCTTTGAGATATTTGAGTATCCTCTTGACTGCTTTGAGGTGAGACTCCTTGGGATTTGCTTGGAACCGGGCACATAGACCTACGCTGAAAACTATGTCGGGTCTACTGGCAGTTAGGTATAGTAGAGACCCGATCATTCCTCGGTATTTCTTTTGGTCTATGCTGGTTCCTGCTTCGTCTGCATCCAGCCTGTCATTTGTTCCCATCGGTGTTGTCATTGTTTTGCTTTCACTTGCTCCATACTTCTTGAGAAGTTCCTTGAGATATTTTTGTTGAGATATTTGAGTTCCTTTACTTGTTTGTTTGATTTGGAGACCGAGGAAAAAATTTAATTCGCCCATCATACTCATCTCGAACTCGGAGCTCATAAGAGAGGAAAATTCATCACAAAGTGAGTTGTTAGTAGCACCAAAAATAATGTCATCTACATAAATTTGAACAACCAAGAGGGATTGATCTTTTATTTTTAGAAAAAGTGTTTTATCTATTTTTCCTCTTTCAAAACCATTTTCCAAAAGAAATTTTGATAGACGTTCATACCAAGCACGTGGTGCTTGTTTGAGCCCATAAAGTGCTTTATCTAGTTTGAAAACATGATTAGGAAAATCTGGATTTTCAAACCCCGGTGGTTGTTCAACGTATATGTCACGCCCCGGACCGCATCCGAGCCACGTAGACAACCGCCGTACAACCCGATAAGAACAACAACAGTTCATCCCTATTGAGTTGTACAAGGCGTCCGATTGATTCTATTGCCAAACCGATTAGTAAACACATACAATCAACATCAATATCATAATCAAACAAATGCGAAAAATAATAATATGTTTGATACTTAGCCACACGTGGCAAACACGGGCACGCAGGCCCCCAACTGTTTTAATGAAAATATCGTCAAAAAAATCCATGAGCGGTTTATACATTTGAAATAAGAATGGAAGCACGAACCATGTCTTCCTTCTCGATCAATCACCCTAGACAAAGGTGCAGGTAGTAGGACTCTAGCCTCAACCTGAAAAATGTGAGGGCCCCCGGAGGGGTCAGTACTCCATAGAAGTACTAGTGATAAGCAGGCTATATGAAGAATAACTAATGTTTCAGACACGAGACCCAAAAATAGGGTGATACATATATATATGTGACTCATTCATCCGATGATACATACTGTATATATATATGTAAAATACTCGACCCGTGGGTCATTTCATTCAAAGAGTCTTTTAGAGACAAAGTTCTTACCTGACCTTTCTCACCCTTTTCCCGAATGCCTAGCTC